TTGCACAACAAATACTTATTAAACAGAATGCCACCCTGTTGACCTACTCAGCTATTTTGCATAAATCAACAGGGTGTCAGTCTATACCTTTTTGTCAACATAATCATTTTCAATTTTATGCTAAAATTTCTTATGTAATTGAAACATGCAAAGCAAAATTAATCTTAGTTAAAAATAACTCTTGTACATCTACTTCCAACTCGTATGGTAATACTACCTGTAATTAATTATCAAGTGATTTGAACCTTTGAACTGAAAATTATCCATTACCAAAACTATTTTTTAAAAAGAAAAAAAAATATGCTTAGTTAAAAATTGTCATTCGATTGAAACGTAGAAAAAATGATTTTGTGAAAAAATGTTACAAAGTCTTAAGACCATATAAAACATTAAGGAATCTTTAAATTGTCATATTTGTTTCATCAAACGTTTGTTGAAGTAAAATAGAATTAATATTTGACTGAAACTCTTAGATATTGAGCATTGCTTTTATACGAATGAGTTATTGATGTAAACAGTTCAGTTAAAAACATTAAAAGCAAACGTATACTTAATTGTTATTGTATGTAAAGAAGTTGTATGCCACTTGATATATAAATACATGTAGTAATTGAAGTACAGTAGTTCATTGAAACACCATATCCAGATCTGTAGCATCTTTGAAAATTTGTGAGCTTTGAGTTGTGTTTCATATTTTTCACTTTTTTTTTTAAACAAAACATTAAGTAATGCTGTTCTTAGAAAAGTAAAATACATAGGTTTATTCTTTTTCATGTGACAGAGAAAGGAACTCATTGTTGATGTTGTTTTTCAAAGTTGAAGCAGTTACATCTTACAAACATTTTTGTGTGTTTTGTAAGTCAAATTGTGTTTAACATGCTGTTTGTATGCAAGTAACAGGTATTCAAAATTGAATTTGGAATGAATTAATGATATAATAAACGAAACCAAAAGTAAATCTGAATTCCAAATATTTTATAGTGTACAGTGTTAATGTGAAAATAGCATATCATATGATAAAAGTTTTGCTATTTAATGTGGTAAATATCAATACAATGACGATGTTTCTAAATTTTGATTTCGTTTTGTTTAACTCAATGTGATACATTTACAAAATCAGTAATATTTTATTTTTTTGTTCATTTGCAAGGCTCACTATTTCATGTAAATGGTCATAAGATAATGAAGCCCGAGTTCAATTTCAACCTTAAAATGCCTGTTCGTGGCTATTCACACTTCACCGCATTGTCTGGATTTCTATTATTGACTTTTAAGACTAAATTTACTGTTTTGATCCTGATCACATTACATGCTCTGTGGTGCCTAAATAAATGTGGATCCAGACTATTCGTTAAAGCATTCAATTTCTAGTTACGTCTAAATTTAATATAATTTCAGTATAAAACAGTAAAATAGTCATTATTTCACACTGTTGTAACTCCTAAATGTAATGATATTTTAGGGTCACATTGCTGTAACTTATTACAGCATTCTGGTTCTTGTATTTTTGTCAATAAAATATATTTTTCAGTGATTTTTCATTTCTTTTATTTTGATTTTTTAAAAAACTATCTACAGGAACTTCTTCGTAATTAAAAGTGTAAAAGTTAAAATAATTCTGCACACTATGATGTATTTTATATTAAAATTGGTTGAGTAAGTGTGAAGATATAGCCTGTTAAAACTTTGAAGTCGATTTTCTCAAAATGGTAAAAATACGACTTACATCATTATGGAATTAGGGCGACGATTGATCGAAGTATCTAAATGTGACACTATGCTCACATTTTACTAGTATAAACATTGAAGTATCTCAAAGTAACACTATGCTCACTTTTTACTAGGATAAACATTGAAGTATCTTAAAGTAACACCACACTGGCCATAGCTTTCGCAGAAGCGGTGGGTCTACCGCAGCGACGGTGGAGTATTCGTCGCAGAAGCGGTGGATAAAATATGGCCGTTTGTTGTTTTCGGTAAGTAAATGACTGAATTTTGTTTTATGTTTTAATGTTTTACTGGAAACACTCAGTGAGACTGGAGCACACATATGTACTTTTTCAACCTATTACACGGACACGGTGCAATTCATTGCCGTTTATGCAAACACTTCAGTACAGTTTGATGAGGGGACGGTACTTTTGCCTAATTTTGGTTAAAACACATAGAAATGTGTGCAAAACGACCCCATAATACATCGGCATCTCATCGAATCAATGATACTTTCACAAATTAACCATAATTTGGAAAATTGGGAAATTATTATTGCCTGTTTATAAAATAAATGACAAAAAAATTTTTCGTCGCAGACGGCGGTGGATTCGATTGCAACGCAGTGTGGTGGGCCCGATACCATTTTTGTATATTTTTAGAATTTAACTTGACGTAAGGCATTTTTCAATTGAGTACAGCCATTTTCTTACTTTGACATCTGAGAAACGTGCTTATTTGATGTTTAAAACGATATTAATTATTATATATACGCTCGTACAAATATATGTCCGCTTTTATTTTCCTTCCATTGAAAATTACTTCAGCCATAATTATCATTGAATAATCCACGTTCAACCTTGGACTTAAAAAGACCGTAAGTTCATTTTTTTGTCATACAGACATATAAGAGATACTCGAAAAACAACCTCAGTTTTTAATGTCACTGTGTTATATTACCATTTAGTGAGAACACCAATATAAATAAATTTTATGTTTACAGCGTAAGAGTTTAGTAAAGACCTACGCGTTTAATAGCTTTAGGTTTTCTTCTTTTTCTTAAATTGTGACATTTATCCAAAAGAATGGTTTCAAATATGGTATATGTTTAAAGAATTTTAAAGTATGAAATGAAATTTTAAAAAAGGTAATAGAAGTATTTTATGGAAATAAGTCTTTCTTTAAAAATGTACACAAATATAGTAAAGAACATAATAAGCGAGAGAAAAAAGATTTTTCAGACTTACATTTAAGTAATATGACCTTGAAATAACCACAGTTAAGGAAAAAATCAAATTCACGTACAGGAAATGAGATCGGTGACCCCTAAGTTTCTTTTCCGCTCTAAATGTTTATGTTATCATATTCTAGCATCATGCTTAATTTAAAGAACATAATTATATTGAACCTCCTTAATTTTGCGTGTATGTGTTTATAATACTGCACGTTTGTTACGTCACTTTTCATTGGATAACCGTGACGTTTATATACATACAATGTACTTTTTAAATACATGGCTGCCGTCGATTTATGAAATTATCTCTTTTTTTCTATCAAAAATGCATGATGTATTATGAGTTCGTTATAAATAAATCCAACAGGTTATATGGTCGTATATTAACGGTTGTTCGCAATATTAATAGCTATCGAAATTCTTAATAATACTTGTACATGTGTGTAAAAATCAGAAATTAAAGTTACAAATCAACCAAAAAGCTCTATAATTAAATAAACGTCTCGATTTTCCAATGAAAAAATACGTTACAAACATGCAGTATTATAAAGTTTATAATTTTATATTTATATACACGACTGCTGTTTATTTAATAAGAAATTGTATGTTTATGTATTATACATGTATTTTCAAACAACCGTTTATATACGGCCATATTGTATAGTCTTTCAAAATCTTTATAACTAATATGATACTCTCGAAAAAGCCATAAATATGTGTTAACTTTATGTTTTTTTATAACTCATTTGCCGTAATGCAAAAATATATGCATATATATATATACCTGCCATGCCGCTTTTAATAAGTCAGAAATCGGCATTGGTTATAAGGTATAACACGTGATCACGTATAACATGTAAATGTCTGGCACGTGATATTTTTGCTGGATTCATCACATTTGTGGAATTCCCTGCACGTCGCCAAATTTCCATTCGGTGGTGCATCAAGGTCAAATATTATGACTCTTTGTTTCCGCCGTTTCCTCTACGGTGCGGGTTGTCAAATGCATGAACCCTAATATGAACTTGGAAATACAAATATGATAAAGGGCACTATATATATTCTTACTTTCCTGCGCTTTTCAACTGGAATGGTGCATTCACACTCAAAAATACTTGATACTTAGTAATAACCCGCAATAAATTGTTGAACGTGGATTATTCTATGATAATTATGGCTGAAGTAATTTTCAATGGAAGGAAAATGAAAGCTGACCTCGGACATATATTTGTACGAGAGGATTAATAATTAATATCGTTTTAAACATCAAATAAACACGTTTCTCAGATGTCAAAGTAAGAAAAGTTAAATTCTTAAAATATACAAAAATGGTATCGGGCCCACCGCACTGCGTTGCAATCGAATCCACCGCCGTCTGCGACAAAAACATTTTTGTCATTTATTTTATAAACAGGCAATAATAATTTCCCAATTTTCCAAATTATGGTTAATTTGTAAAAATAACATTGATTCGATGTGATGCCGATGTATTATGGGGTCGTTTTGCACACATTTGTATGTGTTTTAACCAAAATTAGGCAAAAGTGGCGTCCCTCATCAAACTGTACTGAAGTGTTTGCATAAACGGCAATGAATTGCACCGTGTCCGTGTAATAGGTTGAAAGAGTACATATGTGGGCTCCAGTCTCACTGAGTGTTTCCAGTAAAACATTAAAACATAAACAAAATTCAGTCATTTACTTACCGAAAACAACAAACGGCCATATTTTATCCACCGCTTCTGCGACGAATACTCCACCGTCGCTGCGGTAGAGTCACGCTTCTGCGAAAGCTATGGCCAGTGTGAACACTATGCTCACTTTTTACTAGTATAAACATTAAAGTATCTTAAAGTAACACTATGCTCACTTTTTACTAGGATAAACATTGAAGTATCTTAATGTGGCATTATATGCTCACTTTATCATTGTCTAGTTGAGCTGAATTGACGATATATTTGAATTTCAAAGAATTTCATAGAAAGATTGTTGTAATGGTAATTGACAAACAGACTTCCCAACTCTAATTATAAACTGAATGTTACATGCAAACTCCATTGTTTTTTTACTGAAACTTCATTGAACTACGTATGTAATTGATCGTACATGTGGAGTAAATCACAAAATTGAATGGAATAATGGCAAACTGTACCTTTATTCTGACTTTCACTTGTCCGCTCACTATTTACCCTTCGACGGGCATAATGTCACTTTAAAAAATGAAAATAATCGTTTCCACAGTAAACAATGCAGTGCGGCCTTTGTTACATCAAGCGACGGTTGAATATGCTTGAAAGTACATATTTGTAATACATATCTTTTATTGAAACAGTCTTTACTAAATTGTGTTGTTTAATTGACTAAACTTGATGTGTACTTATTTTGAGTGTGAGATACTTTGCGGCAGTAGCTAACCGACACAAAGTTTCAAACTGATTGAAAGTGCAAAATTGTTAAAAATGACTATGCAGTTACATAATTTTTTATTATGTAATTCTGACAAGTACAGTATCAATTCCGCAATTATTACAATCAATTGTATTCTGGACATGTAATAAATGGTGTTTTAGCCTTTTGGCATTAAGCTTTTTTGACAGATACATTTTCTTTTGTAATTTTATTGATGTCATACATGCTAATGAATAAAGCTGCATCAGAAGTTACTCTGATCTAAATTTATCTACCGTGTCAATTCCAAGAATCATGTCCGCCGCTTTCTCGGCAACCATTATCACGGGAGCATTTGTATTTCCCGAGGTGACGTTTGGAAATATTGAAGCATCTGCAACCCTTAAACCTTGAATACCTTTCACTTTCAATTCAGGGTCGACAACTGCTGTTGGATTATTCGCTGCTCCCATTTTACATGTTCCCGAATGATGGTATTCTGTCAATGCGGAATGTCGGACAAAGCATTCCCAGTATTCGTCCGACCGGTATTTATGTTGCGAACAGAATTTCTTTTGTATCTGATTGATGTTAACACCTAGGTCTTGGAAAGCTTTAGTGGTCGTGAGTTTCTCCCAGATTCTTATTCCTCCAAGAAATGTCTTGATATCGGCCTTATCTGTAAGATAACCAGAGTCGATCTTTGGATAATCAAAAGGGTCTTTGCTCTTAAGCGTTATACGTCCTTTACTCTTTGGGCGTGTAAGACATATATCTGTAGTAAAACCATGCTTAAAACCGTCCTTTTCTAGAAGTTCTTCTGCCAATACATCGTTAAAGTTGAAGATATTATCACGAAACAGAAACGAAAAGAAAATAATTTGAATATCAGGGTATGTTTTCCCTTTCTGTGTTTTGTCAAGATGTAAAAAAGCTGAACCGTCAAGTCCGGCATATGCCAAAGGTCCTTCTCCAAACAGATAATATTTTGCTAAATTCCAAAAGCTAGTTGCCATGTCGACCGTCACGCTGAACGGTTTGTTAATGTCGCTGAACAAAAACACCATTTCATGATCCTGTAGGTTTTCCCCAACTGGTAAATTAGCAACCAGCGGTATATTCATCTCTTTTAGATGTTTTTCAGGACCAATTCCCGACAGCATAAGCAAGTGTGGCGAGTTTACAGCTCCCGCTGATAAGATTATTTCTTTTCTGGCTTTTACGTATCTTTTCTTGCTGTCTTTTATATAGAAAACTCCAACAGCTCGCTTATTTATAACTTCAATTTTAGTAGCTAAAGTGTTTATTGAAATATGCAGATTTTGTCTTCCATTGGCTCTACCTAGATATTCTAGGCCAGTACTACTACGGACCCCATTTCTAATTGTCTTTTGAACTATGCTAAATCCTTCCTGATCTTCTCCGTTGTAATCAGTTACGTTGTATCCTAGTTCTTGGCCGGCTCTTGTGAACACATCCGTTAGAGGTGTTATGTGTCCATTTGAAACTGCCAAAGGACCACCTTTGCTGTGATATTTAGATGTTTCTAACTCCGTTATTTGTATATCCTCAGCCTTTAGAAAGTATGGCAGAACATCTTCATAGCCCCATCCCTCACAACCGGCAGCCTTCCATTCGTCAAAGTCAAAGGGACTGCCTCGCGTATACTGCATAGCGTTTAGAATGCTTGTTCCACCGAGAACTTTTCCACGTGGCCAAAACGCGCGTTTATCCTTGAGACCTTGTGAAGACTGAGTCTGTGGCTCAGTATAGAATTCCCAGTCGTATTTAGTCTTTTGAGAAAGGGTCCAAAGAAGCGGAATATGGAAATTTTCACTTTCATCATAGTGCCCACCAGCTTCAATCAGGAGCACTTTAGAGTCTTTATCTTCGGAAAGTCTCGCGGCTAGTACGGAACCTGCCGATCCTGCACCAATGACGACGTAATCATACACGTCGTCAGGAACGCCTTCAAGTACAGCCAATTTGTTTTTGTTTTTTGATCGATAATAATTGTAGGCGAAAGCTACAAGAATAATGAACACAGCCATTCTTAGCATTGCCATGGTGCAATCTGAAAAGCAAATGTAAATTACTCTTATACCTTATATATATATACATATAGAATAGGGGACAAAGCAATTCTAAAAGACAAAACAGAAGAGAAAATACATGTGCGTAAGTGTATTCTCCCACTTGTATCGTATATTCCTAGAAAAAGTGCACAAAAACAACAGATAAGACAAATCTTTCTAAATATTCCAAATTAACGCGAGATATTGATGAAAAAAAATGCACATGATTTCATTTAAAATTTCGTTTGAATATAAAGAAATGTGTGAAAATATAGTGTGTTTTAGCATTTGTTCCCTTCCAATTATTTTCACCTTTCAAATTTGAGATTGTCATAAAATTTGTGGGTCAAAAAATATCAAATTCGAAAATAAAATACTTCTTCTACCTCATCCATGCACTTTAACGAATATTTTTTTATACACGTATATTTCATATATTAATTCAATCCACACAGATTAAATTTCACGGCTTTACATAAATATTGAAAAATTGCACACATACCTTGAGAAGTTAAGCCAATTATTAGCTCAGCTAGTACATCAAATATAGTGATTTTCTTTCGACGCGGACATGTATTAAAGGGCACTTTATTTTGCTTGGGCAGGCATAACGTTTATAAATGGGTATGATGTACGATCATGTCAAGGATGAATTATTTTATGATCACATGTAAAATCTATTTTGATATTAAATATAAGTAAACATGCAAAAAGCGAATTTTAATGATCGAGATATGTATTGAAACTGCATCGTAAACCTAATCAGCGAGAAATTACGCTATTCATATAGATCAATAAGTAATAGAAAGAGCATCGAAACACAAGGCTATCTGATCTGTACATTGGGGGGGGGGGGTAAACTAAAGTAGGTCTTATGCCCAATTGTCCCGTATTATAATTGACAGCATGGCTGTAAAAATGTTTTTGACCTGTTATATATGTAATGGATATGGTTTTTCTTAACATAAGACATAAGAATTAAGACAGTTTCGCTACGAAGCTGGATATTAATTGTTGTTTGTCCTAGCGAAAGGCCTCCTACAGGTCTGTAAGAAGACATTTTTGAAGAAAATACAAGTTAATGTATCTGATACATACGACAATTTAGTGTAAAGAGCAAATAAATAAATAAACATATTTACTAATAAATAAATCCATGTAAAAATAAATGTATGTTCTTGTACTAACTATAGAAAATATTTATATGGCCTTTAGGCAGTGTAAAGGCCTGAACAGATGGAAGGATGTAGAAGTACAGCACCTATGAAAACTAAGGCAAGCAAATCTTAATGTGTGAAGGCTATTATTTCTTGAATCCATAAACTTAAATACTATATTTAAGGTAAACAACCCATAATGGGCACTATAAGGAACTTTAAAATTGACAACATGGGACAGTTATATGCCTTAAAGGACACATGTATGCGAAATTTAAAGAAAATCCGTTTGGTTTATGAGTTATGGACATTTTCCTGAACTAAAACTAAGCTACATGTATTAGAAGGGCTTTTTTCAGAAATGAGGAAACTCTCAATAATCAACATTATCATTATGAAAAATGTTTTCCTATTGATCATTTAATTAAGAAACAAAAAAAATAACATTTAAGTAAAAAATCACACAAGCAAAATGATTGTTTCTACAAATATTTTAATACATGTATATATAAAAATGTTACCCTACCCCACTGACTTTAAACACTTGTTTGACCATTTCCTTATTTAAAAATTCTTATTAAAAATATCCCTTAAATTTACCATAATGAGAGGCTGTTTTCAAAATATAAAATACTTTTTACCGTGTAGATTTTATTTCATTAGACTTTAAAAATATCTGGTTCAATATTTGCTATTTTGGCATTATTTAGTTAATAAATAGCTTTATTTTATGCTTTTTAGTGGATTACTGATTTATCCGTGAAAATTATATCTGATAATTTCAAAGTGAAAATTATCAAAATATAATTTCACACTTTTCAATGACGAAACTACTTTTTTAAGATTTTCCCCATGTGGTACCTCAATTATTTTTTCTTTTGATGACAATTCTGACAATGTCAGGCTGTTTAAAGATAAAGCAACGCTGAAATTAATAAATAACTTAAATGTCGAAAGTAATAAAAAGAAGAAAACTTACTTCTATTCATTCAAATGCCAATCACCAAAGTTCGTCTCTTAATTTTTTTGTTTCATTTTTACAGTCTGGAAAATACATTCCTTCCATTTGCAAAACTGCTCTTGATGACATTTGGGCATATTAAAATATCCTATGAGCAATAACTGCCCTATGCTTTATCAGTGTTTAAAGCAATGACAGCCATCAGCTCGAATAATAAGTAAACAACCCAGCGTTCCTAAGCCAGCTATCAAGTTTTCCATTTCCCTAGCTGTTTACACACAAACAAACAAATATCCTCTATACAATAATGATATAATTAAAATCAAACACGTTCTTCTTTCATAAGGGATCTGAGAGATACATGATAAATAATGTTAAAAAGAGAAAAAAAAGTTGCCCCTTCTGGGGTTTGAACCGACGCCCCTCAGCTTCCATGCAGGTTGCAGAAATTCTAGCCTATTTGAATACTCTTCAAAGCGGAGGTAATGCATTAATTTAAGGATAGAACTTCTTTTTTGTAATTCTTCTTGTACTAACCTCTCACGATGACAAGGGACAAATTTCCAAATTCTTACCCGATAATTCGTGTACTGAATGAAATTCCAGAACAATTGAGGCTAAAATGTAAACATTGTAGTAAGTACAGAGGATCTAAAAAAAAGCAGCCGAATGAATCCCAAATACTCAACAAGAGGGCCATGATGGCCCTAAGTCGCTCACCAGAAACAACTGCTTTTCAGTGTTGGAATGTCAATATATTTTCATATTAAACTTGAGCATAGAATATGTTTAAACAATATAATTTGAAGAAATGCCATGACCTGGGGCATTAAAGCTTTAGCTTAAACGGGGCTAATCAAATAATATGAGCAAACTTAATAAAAGACTACCTAAGAATGCTATATTACAAAGTTTGGTGATCATCTATCAATTATTTCAGTAGGAAATGATGTTCGAAGGTTTTTTCTATTTTTAGCTTAAGTGGCCCCTACAAGGGGCTTATCAAATTAATATAACCAAACTTGATGAAAGAGTTCCCAAGAATGGTACAGACAAAGTTTGGTGATCATCCATCAATTGGTTCTGAAGTAGGAGATGTGTAAAGGTTTTTTTCTATTTTTAGCTTAAGCGGCCCCTAAAAGGGGCCAATCAAATAAATATGAGCAAACTTGATAAAAGATTACCAAAGAATGCTACAGACAAAGTTTGGTGATCATCCATAAATTAGTACTGTAGAAATAGACATTTAAAGGTATTTCTATTTTAAGCTTTTCCAGCCCCTAAAAGGGGCCAATCAAAATAATATTAGCAAACTTGATAAAAGACTACCCAAGAATGCTACAGACAAAGTTTAGTGGTCATCCATCAATTAGTTCTCTAGAAATAGACATTTAACGGTATTTCTATTTTTAGCTTTAGTGGCCCCTAAAAGGGGCCAATCAAATAAATATTAGCAAACTTGATAAAACACTACGTAAGAATGCTACATTACAAAGTTTGGTGATCGTCCATCAATTACTTCTGTAGGAGAAAATGTTTAAAAGCTTTTTTCTATTTTTATCCCTAGAGACCCCTAAAAGGGGCCAATCCAATTAATATGAGCAAACTTGATAAAACACTACCCAAGGATGCTACGGACAGAGTTTGGTGATCATCCATCAATTAGTTCTGTAGGAGAAGATGTTAAAAGGTTTTTCTATTTTTAGCCCTAGAGACCCCTAAAAGGGGCCAATGAAAATAATATTAACAAACTTGATTTAAGACTTCCAAAGAATGCTACAGACAAAGTGATAATCCATCTATTAGTTCTCTAGATATAGATGTTTAAAGTAATTTCTATTTTTAGCTTTAACAGCTCCTAAAAGGGGCCAATCAAATTAATATGAGCAAACTTGATAAAAGACTACCAAAGAATGATAGAGACAAAATTTGGTGATCATCCATCCATCAGTTCTGTAGAAGATGTCTAAAGGTTTTTACTATTTTTAGCCTAAGTGACCCCTTAAAGGGGCCAATCAAATTAATATGAGCAAACTTGATAAAACACTACCCAAGAATGCTACAGACAAAGTTTGGTTATCATCCATCCATTAGTTCTGTAGGAGAAGATGTTTAAAGGTTTTTCTATTTTAGCTCTTTTGTCCCCTAAAAGGGGCCAATTGAAATGACATGAGCAAATTCAAGTGTGACTGCCACAAGGATGCTACAGCCGGAGTATCCCCCTGTGATACTAATAGCTCACCCTGAGCCTTCGGCTCTGGTGAGCTTAAAAATCTATACACTGTGGGCAAGTACTCTGAAACATTTGAGCAGACACGCTTATTGTTCAGTTGTAAAAGCTCCTGTGACCTTGACCTTTGACACATTTACCTAAATATCAATAGGGGTCATCTTATAAACTAAATATGAAGATTGTTGACCAAAGCATTCTTAAGCAATTGAGCGGACAAGCTTTTTGAACTTAAGGCCCCTGTGACCTTGACCTTTGACTCAGTGACTTCCAAATCAATAGGGATAACTAAATGGTCATGATCAACCTCCATGTCATATATGAAGACTGAAGGTCAAAGGATTTTTTAGTTATTGCACAACAAGCTATTTTTAGTCAAGGGCCTTCTGACCTTTGGCCTAGTGACCTCAACATCAATAAGGGTCATCTACTAGTTAAAACCAACCTCAATATAAAATATGAAGACTGTTGACCAATGCATTCTTTAGCAAATAAGCGGACAAGCTTTTTGAACCCAGTGACCTCAAAATCAACATGGGTCACCAAATGGTCATGACCAACCTTCAAGCCAAACATGAAGACTGTGGGTCAAAGGATTCTTAGGTTTTTGGGCAGACAAGCTTTTTGAGGTCAAGGTCCGTGCCCTTGACCTTTGACCAAGTGACCTAAAAATCAATACAGGCCATCTAATAAACATGACTAACCTCCATGCCAAATATGAAGACTGGGTCAAAGGGTTTTAACCTAATTGGGTGGACAAGCTCTTTTTAGTCAAGGCCCCTGTGACCTTGACCTTTGACCTTGCACCCTTACAGTCAATACAGGTCATCTAATAGTCATGACTGTCACTGATCTCGAGGCTGAAGATGAAGATTGTGGGTCAAAGGATTCTTAAGTTATAGGATGACAAGCTTTTTTAGTCAAGGCCCTTGTGACCTTGACCTTTGACCTGGTGACCTCAAAATCAAGAAAGGTCATCTGATGGTTATGACTAACATCCATGCCAAATATGAAGACTGTAGGTTAAAGGATTCTTAAGTTATTTGGCAGACAGGAATACAGACGGACAAGCTGATTCCAGTATACCCACTTTTACAATTTTGTTGTGCGGGGTATAAATATTTTTTGGGCTACATGTGCCACAAGTCAAAAATATTACTATTTTACTAAGTAAAGGGCAATAACTCTGACAAAACAGAATTAATCCACAAGCGAAATCCCAGGTTCACAACTTCACATGCTGATCAACATTCCCGTAAAGTTTCATGACCCTAGGTCAAAAAAAATATGCT